TACATTACATCCAACAAATTCACCCATTCCCAGAATTTGTTAATCTTATGGAAGCAGCTTCGTTGTCTGGGGAAATACCTGTGGTTCATCTTCTTGCGCTGTGAAGAGTAACGACATGAACTCACACACACGGAGTGGGTTAAGGAGAGGAAAATTTTCTTTTTAGAGAAAAAATAGATGATCTATTTTTGGCTTCTTATTAATAAATTAATAATTATTATAATATAAAATATATCAATAATATACTATTATATAATATATACTCTATAAATATATAATATAATCTTTAAAATATATAATACATTATATAAAATACATATCTCATAATATATAATAGCAATATGTTATATATTATATTGTTATATATAAATATATAATTATATTTATATATATATTATAATATATAATTAATAATAATAGGCACGAAAGAAGAGAACAGCTCCCCCACAAAGAGGGAGGAGGAATCTCAGTGGAAAGCTCCGCTTGAACGGAGAGCTGTAGGTTATATTGGGAAACTTGAGAAGACGTGTCGGTTTGCATAGGCCCCAGGGGATTGGTTTGACCAGGTGTGCCATTTACATAGCCCCCAAAAAGACTGGCCCTCACACCCTGATCTTTTATTATGCAAATGCAGCCTCTGTCTGGCTGCACCATGACACCTGTACACATGGCTTTACCTGGCCAGTGCCATGAAACCTGCACAAGTGGTGACACAGAAAAAGGGAGTGGGAATCACCATATTGGGTGAACCTGGCTTTTAGTACAGCTGCCTGCATTTACATATGCAGGCTTCCAGCTAATCTATGCTTGCAGCTCGACTTTTCAGGCTGCTTTTTGTTAGAAAAGAAATGGTTTGGGGGCTGCTTTTTATTAAAAGAAAAAAACTTACTGAGGACCTTTTACCTTTGCTAACTACTAAAATAATTTCTTAATACCTCCTATATTATTTGTGAAAGTTTGTGCCCTATGATCACAGTCTTCCCGTCAACCCATCCCCAGCCCATAGCAACCATCATTCTACTCTCTAGGTTCTTTTTTACATTCTAAATATAAATAAGATCAGTGTTTGTTTGTTCTGTGTTTGGCTTATTTCACTTAGCATAATGTCCTCTAGATTTATCCATATTGTCACAAATGGCAGGATTTTCTTCTTTTCTTCTTTTTTATGGCTGAATAATATTCTATTGTACATATGCACATTTTCTTTATCCAGTCATTCCTTCAGACCATGTGTTTTGTGAAACATACCTCATTTTCATTTTGTTGTTTCTTCATGACTAAATTAAAATTATTTATTTTTGGCAGGAGTATCATAGCAGTGATGTAGTAAATACAGATGATCCTCTACATATGATAGTTACATCTTGATAAACCCATTGTAAGTTGAAAATATCGTAAGTCAAAAATGCATTTAATACACCTAACATTCCAAACATCATAGCTGAGCCTAGCCTACCTTAAACATGCTCTGAACACCTACATATGGGCAACATCATCTATCACAAAGACTATTTGATGATAAGATGCTGCATATTTCATATAATTTATTGAATATTGAAAGTATGGTTTCTTCTGAATGTGTGTCAGTTTTGTGCTATTGTAGAGTCAAAAATAATTGTTAAACCAAACCATCTTAAGTTGGGGATTGTCTGTACACTTTTCACTGTGTCACACCAGTAAGAACATGCTGTCAACTCATCCTATTACTGCTGATAACTTTGATATTTGGCTAACGTGTGTCTCCCAGATTTCTCACCATAAAATCATTATTTTGCCATTTGTAAATAATAAACTTATTTTATAGAGTTTACTAATTACAAATGGAAAAAGATCATGTAAGTATTTAAGACAATGTAAATATTCTAATTCTCATCACAATTTCACCCACAAGTTTTAGAACCTATTGATGATTTGTGCTTTGCTAAATTAATTATGATTGTTATAAAAAGATGAATTTGTAATTTCATTATTCCTTCTACATTTATTAATTGGCATTCCAGTGAACGGAATAGATTCCCTTTATATCTAAGTTATTTCTATATATATGTATTTGTTCATTTACATCACCACAAATCTCATGGGTTTTTATTTCATTCTATAAATCATAATCTGTTATCATTATTTTATGCTCAGATTTTTCTTCATTTGGTCAGCGGGAGGCCCTCCTATGTGGCTTCTGTGTTGTACTGACATTGCCCCACTGTTCTTTGACCATTTTCTTATTCTTTAGTATGAGGTATCTCAGATTCATCTGAAAATTTTCAATCCAGTCTGAAGTCAGCAATTTTTGGAAAGATTCCAGGTTTCTTGTATTATAGAATGGTATTTAGGAAACTAAGAACTAGGTGCTAGCTGTGCTCATTACTACCGGAGTGTCCTCAAGGCTAGGTACCCTCTTTAACAGACTGAATCATTAAACATACCCATACACAAACCCACATATTTTTATACTTATGAACTGCTATGTACTGAATTGTGTCACCTCCCAAATTCATATGTTGACGCCCTAACCTCCACCACGATGGTATTTGAAGATTGGGTCTTTGGAGGGTAATTAGGTTTAGATGAGGTGATGAGGGTAGGGACTTCATGATGAAATGAGTGCCTTTATAAGAACAGAGCTCGCTCTCCCTCTCCCCCAATTGAAGATACAGTGAGAAGGTAGCTATCTATAAGCTAGGAAGGGAGCCCTCACCAGCAACCTGCCATGCTAAGACCCTTATCTCAGACTTCCAGTTTTCAGAAATGTGAGAAAATAAATTTCTGTTGTTTAAGCCACCTAGTCTATGGCATTTTGTTATGACAGCCTGAACTAAGACATGAATGAATCATCTATATTAAAATTCTAATTTTTTTACTGATTCCTTCATTTCTAATACAATACTATAGTATTCACTTTAGCTTTCCACTTTTCCATATTGGTAACTCCCTCATTTTCCTTCCTTTGGCCATTAATGGCTTGAATATTAGATTTTTTAATATTTTCCCATAGGTTCCTGAGTCTCTGTTATTTTTTCTGTTTTATCTCCCTAATGTTTTACCGGGTCTCTTTTATATCTTTTTTTTTTTTTTTTTTTTGCTATCATTTTGCCATTGAGCAACTATGCAGAATTTTTAATTCACTGTATTACAATTTTCAGTTCTTGTATTTGATTTTCTTTTTTACAACTGCGATTTCTCTTTTTTTTTTTTTTTGGACAATATTCAAAAACCACCTTTATAAAAACTGGACCATCCAAAGTAAAAAGAAAAGTTTCACCATTCTTTTGAAAAAAATATTTTGCATTACTTGGAAACTTGAGTATTATTTTATGGAAGAGATTTAAGTCAATGTCCTAATTTCCTTAAGACTTTATATATCTAATAGATGTCGATATTGATCACACTTATATATGCAGAGGAAAAATTTACAAATGTCAATTTTAATGTTATCTCCAGAGCAACAGTTTATCAAGTTGGAACAGGTTAAATTGCTATAACAAAGAAATCCCAAGATATGCAACCGTTCAACGACAATAGAATGAGACTTCTTATCTGTGTAATTTTCCTGGCCAATGGGATGCAGGTGTTTGTTCTCCAGACAGTGGCTCTGGAACCCAGGCTCTTCCATATTGTGGCTCTAAATTCAGGTCTCATTGTCTTCAACCAGATGGCAAAAGTGGAAAAAGGGGATGCAGGGTACATATTTATTTCTGTAAAGTCACTTCCACTCAAGCCATCAGTTAAATTCAGTTGCATGGTCACATCTAACTGTAAGGAAGACTAGAAAATGGAGTGTAATTGTGCCATTAAGCAGGAGAAAATAAACTATGAATTATAGCCATTAATACTATTTCTTCATTGGGAAGTTTTATTTTTCCATTTTTCTAACAATTATCATCCTTACATCTTGGAACATAGTTATGGTAGCTTCCGTATTTGTTTTTATTTCTTCACCAGCTTGCTTTATCAAATATGATAGCGTCTCTAAAGTCTTCTTTCATAATTTTAGCAGTTGTGTCATCTCATGGTTTGCACCTGCTGAATATTAGATTTTGCTTATTCATTGTATAATGAGTAATCTGGGATTATGTCCTGGATATTTTGAATAATATGCCATGAGACCCTGGGTCCTTTAAAAATTCTTCTGGAGAATATTGATTTTGGTTTGTTTAAGCAAATTGTCAATCTGGGGGAGACAGTGTCCTGAGCTCTGATCTATCAGTATTGGTGGTGGTAGGGAGGGTATCTTGGTAAACTGGTGTCCAGGGACTTGCTAGCATAGAGAAGCCAAGACAGCCCCACCCATAAGTGATTCTCTCTAAGAACTGAACTGTTATCTCTGTGTGCTGATTAGCTCAATCTAGAAAGAAATTGGTCCAGTCTGAGTCAGGGGTCCTCCGTCTAGGCATGTGTATCAGGAGTTGGGATGTCATTCTCCAAAGCCTTCTCCGTGGATGTAGGAGTGGATGCTCTGAGAAGGGCCAGTCACCTTGGTGTATATGTTCACAAAACCTCTTCCACTTTCTGTGTTGCTTTCCTTGTCTTGCCTGGCTATCCTCTCTTCCCATTGCCTGCCATGCCACTACATTCGCATTATATTTTTCTGACTGAATCTTCTAAAATGTCATAAACCCAGAACACTTATCAACAGGCTTTACCCTTGTTTCCTGGATTTTTGTCAATTTCATCTCTGTAGCAAATCTACCCCTAAAGCAATGATTTTGAAATGATAGTCTGCATCTCCATCATCAAACGTTTTTCAAATTAACCCTTTAATGTTACATTTTACATAAAATAAAGGCACCCATTTGCTGTATACAGTCGGTACGTTTTTTGTTTGTTTTTTGAGAAAGGGTCTCACTATACCTCCCAGGCTGGAGTGCAATGGCAGTTCACCTGCGTGTTCATATCTCACTGCAGCCTCAAATTCCCAGGCTCAAGCGATCCTCAGTTCGGCAAGTTTTGACAAACGTAGACACCAACTTAAATAAGATAGAACTGTTTCCATCATCCAAAAGGAAGGCCGGTGTCGCCTGAGTGGCGGCGGCAGGGAGGAGTCTGAGGGACCTGCTTGATGAGGGCCCCGCAGACCCCGGCCGGGGCCTCGCCCTTGCCATTGACCCCTGACGCATTTTCTTCGCACCCTTTGCTGGCGCGCTCTATGTCACGCATCCAGTGGTGCGTCAGAAGCATGCGACAGACAGTGTATGCTGGCCTCGGAGGAGGAGAGGGCAGCTGGGATACCTCTGCGAGTCTCCCTCAGCACTACAAGAGCCACGGAAAACGCAAACTGCTCTCATGGGTGACCTCCCCAGTAAGCTGCGCCCCTGCGGTGCCTTCTCCCTGCTTGCTGTGTTCCGCAGTCTGGTCCGCATCACGCCGCTGCCCTGAGTCGAGCCTGTCCTCGGCCTGTTCACCAACGGGTTAAACCAGGATCCAGAGTCTACACGTTCTAGGTTTGGTGTCACCCCTGAGAGCAGTGTCCCATGCAGTGGGCTCAGTGCTGCTCTCCGGGGAGCCTTCCTTTAGTGTCCTGGCGCCTCTATCACAAGAAGCCAGCGCTGTCTATTGGCAACAAGATTCTTTGCCATTCAGAAACAATCAAGATTCCTCCTCCAGGACACGAATGGACTTGACTGTCTTTACCTGGTGAACTGTCATCCGGGATCCCCCACCCCCACATTTTTGACCATTACAAAATGAGCTGAGAGCCCTAGGAGAGTGCCAGGAAGGACTAGCTAAAGAGGAGGACGGTAAGAGAAGCGGCCCCTCATACAGTGGGAGTGTGCCATTATCATTTAGGCTTCCGGACATCACTGGAGTCCTCACTTTCTTCATTGTAATTTTCAGCTTCTGGCAGGAAATCTCAATTGCAAATTCCCAGAAGACAGCGTTGGTAAGAAAGGAGTGCTGGATGAAGACGGTGGGCCCAGTAGCTCCTTCACCAAAGGCGGCACCATCACCAGCTCATACAACCCTGCTGGAGGTGTTTGTGCATTTGCAGAGAGATCCAGGTGCAACAGGGCTCTCTGCCCATGGCATCATGCTCCCTGCTGCTCAAGAGATGGGCACAGGAGGTGCTAGATGCAGGCCATGGGTCCAGCTCCCCAGCCTTGCTGAGCCAGGGAAGAAGATGCAGGGAGAAAAGCTTCCGAAGACAAGGTCAAGGTAAAAACCCTCAGAGATAATTACGAAGACCTCTATGCACACAAACTAGAAAACCTAGAAGAAATGGATAAATTCCTGGAAGCATAAAACCTCCCAAGTTTGAACCAGAAAGAAATTGAAACCCTAAACAAAGACTCCATCAAGGAAGAATTCTCCACCCACATCTTGAGTTGAAGGCCTTGTAAATGGAAAATGTCAAGGTTGTTGATGCTGCCTGGGCTGCCGCTATCTGCCATGCTCCTTTGGCATAAGTGTTTTGGTATAGTTGTTGCTGGGACCTCAGCTTAGAGAAGAAAGCTGAGTACCAATGGAAAATTATCCTCTTGCAGGATAAAACTAAGCCCACCTTGGACTAGAGTGCCACTCAGACCCCTTGTGCTTTCTCTCCGTCTTCAGAGGAGACTGCAGACTCTCTGCCCTTGGCCATTTTCATTTGTAGATTCCAACTGAGGGCACAATCTCAATTACTAACTTGCCTGACCTTCTTGCCAGGCCCCAATCCTGTCTGCCTCTGTACGTACCCCAACACCAGATATCAATTCTGTAATAAAATGCACAATTCCTAGCTTGCTTTCTCTTGTTCTCCCCATGGATCTCTTTCTTTAAGTTCAAGCCCATATTTGGGAAATTCACTTAGGAACAAGCATGGAAGCCCTTTGCATTCTATTTCTCCAGTTATAGCTACTGGGTCATCTGATTTTGACTTCCCTGCACCTTCTAACACCTCAATCTGTCCTTCAAGTCTTTGACAGCAAGGAGTCACCTACATCTGTGTGTGTGGATTCTCCACCTTACTCATGCAGACCCCTCCACCAGACTTCCGCCAGTATCCGCCTGCTTTACTAGCCATTCCATCTCTGCTTTCCCAGTCACTTCTACCCCTGCAGCCAGCACATCTGCCAACTTGACCCAGCAGCCAGCTTTGGACATTGGTGTGACTGGCATGAACACCATTCCCCGCTAAGCTGCTTCTTCAGGTCTCCCTTAGGCTCTGGGATGAACTTGGGCTCCCTCCCATTTGACCAGGTCATTTGTAATGTGGAGCAGATATCCCCAGCTTACATGCAATCATGGTCAACAGCCCCACCCCAACTTTCAGCCTTTTCTTTGGCATAGGAGTCACCCTTCAGTCCATATTTGGGTTCCCTGATAGGGGCTAGTCAGGAGCCACTCTCCCCAGTGACCCTATCTGTACTGGCCTACCTAGCACAGCTTTCCAGAAGCCTCCACTCCACTAGTCAGCACCTTTGTAGATTCAACCTGTAGACTCAGCCTTTGATGCTGATGGAATTGATATACATACCATGCCTCCTTCCCAGATTTCCCTCTTCCCATCATATCTTCTGCAGTCTTCAGTGAGAGCTTCTTTCCATTTTCCATGGTGCTTTCTTGTTCTGAGAACATGCCATCCAGTATCAGCATTACTTCAGCCTCAGCATCCACCAGCTGCCTGCACAGTCACTCAGTGGCCCAGCTGCAAGTTTCAGCTTTTCCTTTGCTCCAGGAGCTACCCCTAAGCCCACAGTTGGGTTCCCTAGTGAGTTACAGCCTGAATCCACCAGCTGTGATGGCTCTTTCTCAACAAAAGCTTCAGACTTAACCTCCTTGCAGCACAGCCACCCACTGGTCACATAACTCCATCTGAGGGTTTGCCCCCCCAGTATTCCACCTTTGGCATCCCTGACATTACCTAGCTGGCATTTGGTGACATCCTAGGTATTTTCCCCATTGGCTTAGTTACCACTTCTAGCTCTAGACCCTAATCAGGATGCCTAGCACTTAGTTACTACTTCTAGCTCTAGCGCCTAATCAGGATGCCTAGCAGTTTCCTGTAGCCAATACCACTGCAGACCCACTTACTTTTACAGGATCCATATCCCCTGTGGGTAGTGGCAGCTTTGGGGTAGGCATGGCTGCCTCATGCTCCAGCTCTGCATCTGGAGCCCTCAGCTTGCTTGAGGACTCAGGAGGATACCCAGCACTACTACTCTTGTTGATGAGGCCTAACTTGAGCATCAGGGTCTATCCCCTGTTACAGTTGGAAAGGCCAACTCTATGGAAAGCAAATCTGCCCTGGGGGACCGTTTTCTTCCTGCTTATGGTCAGAAGCCCCTTCCCTATCATTCAAAGCATACCTGTTACTATTGAGCAGACAATAATACTAAGAAAAAACAGGTGCCAGAGGAGACAATGCTGTTTCTCGTCGCAGATCACTTGGGATACTTGCGATCAGAGCTCATCTACAGCTAGAAGGACCAACATCATGCTGGTATTTGGAAATACTTATCTTCCCACTTTTTGTTGGAATACCTGGGGATCCCCTGGCTAATGCATGTTTACTGCAGTCAGAGGGCTTGGCGCCATACCTGTGCTTGGAGCTGATATTATTCCTGCCTAGAGTCAAGCACCTTGGGCCCACCTGTCCAGAGCACAAGTGATGTAATGGGGGAAGCACTATACCTGTGCTTGGAGATAAATACTTCTGGCCCCACCTTCCTACAGAGCACCTGATGCCCACTTGTTCAGAGCACCCATGCAATGAGAAGCAGCGGCAGCATGCCTGTGATTGGAAGTCCCTGTGTTCCTGCCATTTGTCAGCACACTCGGGGCCCACCTGGGTAGAACACATATGTTGCAGTTGGAGAGGCTGGCACTGTACATATGCTTGAAGATACCACTATTCTTGCGTATAGTCAGAGCACCTGGGGCTCACCTATCCAGAGCACAGGTAGTGAATAGGAACAGTCAGCACCACACCTGCGCTCGGAGATACTACTGTACCCACCAACATTCAGAGCACGTGGGGAGCTTATGGCCAGAGCACATCTGTTGCAGTCACAAGAGAAAATGCCCTACAGTTTTAGGGAGATGCTTCTAGTCTCATCTAGGTCAGAACATCAGGAGCTCACCCACCCAACGTACCCTCTTTGACTTTGGAGGAGCCGGCACCACTGAGAAAAATACCTGCACATGGAGGCACTTTTACCAACATCTTTGGTCAGAGCAACTGTGCTTCCTGTGTACACAAGCAAGCATCAACCTTGCCTTTAGGTTACCCTTTTCATCTACCCAAGGCTTAACTGGAGACAAATGTTGGGCCACAGACCGATTCATTATCTTCCAGTGCAAGACCCAGGATCTCAGCAATTAAGAGAAAACTTCTACAAAGAGCAGGTCACCACAGTTCCCCATACTCTGCTGGAGAGAGGCTCAATCTCTTGTGTCAAACAAACTGCAGTTGCTCTCTGTCTTCCTCCATCAAGCTGAAGGCCCACACCTGTATGCGTGCGTGCGTGTGTGTGTGTGTGTGTGTGTGTTAGAGATGTGAGACAGATGAGGCTGGTCAAATGTCAACATACTGAACTTAAGGAGTACAACTGTGGAGAGCTGAAGAGTGATCTGCACACGTTGTCAATGGTGCCATCCCTAGCTTTCACTGTTGGTCTGGCAGATCCATCTCTGGAACAGTTTTCCTCTGGCCTTGGAACTGGTAGGATGCCCACAGCTGCCTACAGCTGTCTCTTTCCCACTTGCCTCAATGAGCTCTTATCTTTCTTTTCACCATTAAAAATCATAAATCTTTTACTCTGTGACTCAACTGTGAAGGAAGAATTGACTTGTATTAAGTGGTGATGTGTTGAACCAGACTTAAGTGGGCAGTGTTTTCTATGGTCCAGTGAATAAGATGTGGAATTAATCATCCTTAATCACTGCACACGGTGACTTCTGCAGTCTCTGTGTTTTGAGTGTAAAGATGGTGACCCAAGAGGAAAGAAGTTCTAGAGGAGGGAGAGACAGTGTGAGTGGCACTTGACTCTCCTCTCTGGGCTTCTCTTCCACCATCTGACCTCACTGAAAGCCAGCCTGTCCCCAATTGTAAACCACACTTTACAATTTTAGTTGTTGTAAATATTGACATGTTCTTTTTATGCTGTTTTCATTCATTAAACTTAAGCCAATCCCCACATATTTCCATTTCAACCAGAGAGTATGGATTTGGCATCCACGCTCTTGAGCCTAGAGGTATGAAGAAAGAAAAAGTTCACATCTGCTCTGCAGTTATTGAGATTTTTAAGTCTAGGATGTAACATATTACTTGACATTGTCATCATGATGCTTAAAATATCAGGAACTACCTGGACATGGCTCATTTGGAAAAATAACCTATCTGGCTCTAGTCCAAACCATGGAAATATCAAATCGCAAGTTACAATTTCACCTAGATTCAGCTGACCCTAGGGTTCTGCTGTCTCCACTAGACTTAGTTGCTGAAAATGCAATCTTTTCTAATACAGTTTACAACCCAGGAAAACCATTTTAAGTTGGGGGAAAGAGAAAATTACCTCTTACCCAAGAGGAATTTACAAGCTAGTGTGGGAGACAGATGAATAAACCAAAAATTACAACTGGAGAGGCAAATACTAGGGTGATGGGAGTGGGTAAGAAGGACACAAAACTGCGTTTGGGAAATGACTTCTGTTCTGTGCCAGACAGGAGATGGTAGCATGCATTTTAAAACTCCAGGTGCCCTTTAAGTTGTTGTATAAGGAGAGGTCTTGAATTAACTCCAGAAATGTTCTGCACGAAACTCTGAGATATCATATGGCTTCTCCCAATCTTTCCTTCCTTTCCTGCAAAATGTAAAAATACTCCCTGCCTCCTAAAGCAGGTAGATGATACGCATGTGATTTTGGAGATGTAAAATACACAGGATAATGAACCAGAGAGGTTAAGTTTAAATACTGCCTCTAGCACTCAATAGTTGTGTGATCCTCGTGAGGTACTTAATCTTTCTACAAAATAGAACTAATAATAATGACAAATTTATTAAGTTCTGAGAATTAAAATAATTATAATACATTAGGCATTTAAAACACTGCTTGGTACACAGAAGGTGAAATATAGGGGTTTGTCATTTATTTCAAAATGTTAATTATTCATAGAATTACTAACATATGTTTTATTAATATATAATCCCTTCAAGATTGATATTATGGTACTGTAAGCCTGAGATCCTAGTAAAGATTTAATCAGGTAGTCTGAGAATGGTTTGGGGGGAAATAAATTGTTGATCTTTATCACTTTCTTTTCTATAATTACCAACTCCATTTGACTCTCCAGGGAGCAGAATAATTAAGATTGTTAAGAGGTGTCAGGGAGCTAAATATTATCACACTTCGAAATACTTCTCTAATACAGAGAATTCCACCTCCAGTTGAGTTTGTACACACAATTTGAGAGAAGCCTACCTGCATATACGCCTGAAATAGCACCCAATTTGGTATCCTGAGACCTCAGGGATGGGACACCCACAGTGTGGAATTTGGAGCAGTGGGAGTAAATTTAGTTTTTCTTCTACAGGAGGTGCTTGCTAACAGAGCTACGTGCTTTTTGCTGAAAGGTTAAGGGCAGACAGACAGATTTGACAGAACAGAGGGATTCCACATTAAAGGCTTCGAGTAGAAATGTCTGTCACTTCCCTCAATAGTTACCAGTAGCTGTATGGTGCTGAGAGGACAGGTCTGGGAATTTCAGAGCAACTTGTAGGCTGCACTCAAGGAGCCTTCTGGGGTCAGCGGATGGGGGACAGGTTAAAGGAAAATAACAACTTTTACTTTTATTCAATAAATTACATATGTTGTTCAACCCCACTCCATCTTCCCTCTCAGTGATCACTGACAAAATGAAGACAACAATGTTAAAAAAATTGGGATGGAACAAAGTGGTAGGATGGAATTGGCTTACTCTTTCTTCTTCTAGGCATTCTTTCTACCTTTAACTTCAGGACTGTAGGATGGTTGTTTCTCTTGAGATGTGTCTTCGTTGAATTATCTTGTCTAGTCTAGTTTGTTAGGACAGAGGAGTGACATGGTAGCTAGTTTGCAAAGATGGTCTTCCAGTGAAACACACAATTTAGTATCCATGTTCTCTGTAGTCCCCCCACATTGTAGGTTTTGGGCAAGGGAAATGAAGTTCTCAGTTAGAAGCTGACATAGTCAGAAAATTGAGGCACTAAAGTAGAAGAGAGAAGACAAGGGTGATGTAAGAAAAAGAGTAGAATTAGAAGCAGAGTGGTCACAGGAAGATAGAAAAATGCAGGTGTAGGCATATTAGCTCAGGAGAATCACGTGAACAAATTATGCATTATGATGGTCTTTTTGTGTCTGGTTTAGTGCAGTGGTTCTAAAAGAACAATATCAGCCTTGACTGAGAGCTCATTAGAAATGCACGTCTGGCAGCATGATTTATAATCCTTTGGGTATAAACCCAGTAATGGAATGTCTGGGTCAAATGGTATTTCTAGTTCTAGATCCTTGAGGAATCGCCACACTGTCTTCCACAATGGTATAAATCATGCTGCTATAAAGACACATACACACGTATGTTTATTGTGGCACTATTTACAATAGCAAAGACTTGGAACCAACCCAAATGTCCATCAATGGCAGACTGGATTAAGAAAACGTGGCACATATACACCATGGAATACTATGCAGCCATAAAAAAGGATGAGTTCATGTCCTTTGTAGGGACATGGATGCAGCTGGAAACCATCATTCTCAGCAAACTATTACAAGAACAGAAAACCAAACACCGCATGTTCTCACTCATAGGTGGGAATTGAACAATGAGAACACTTGGACACAGGAAGGGGAACATCACACACCAGGGCATGTTGTGGGGTGGCAGGAGGGGGGCGGGATAGCATTAGGAGATATACCTAATGTAAATAACGAGTTAAATGGGTGCAGCACACCAACATGGCACATATATACATATGTAACAAACCTGCACGTTGTGCACATGTACCCTAGAACATAAAGTATAAAAAAAAAAAAAGAAAGAAATGCACATCTGGGGGCTCTATCTTAAACCAATTGAATTACATACTCAGAGAATGGGGCCCAGCAATCTGTTTTAACAACCTTCAAGTGATTGCGATGCTCACTTTAATTTGAGAACCAATGGCTTAGAGATTTGACACACAAAGGGTGATCCAAGGAGCTTGTTAAAAATGCAGACTTGGTCTGAGTAAGAATCTGCTTGTTAATAATATTCCCAGAGAATTCTTATGTACCTAATGTTTGAGAAGCACTGGCTTAGTATATTTATGCCAGACTGTAGATAGTACCCCCAAGCATTAAGTGTTTGCAAAGCAGACAATATGGAGAACCTGTGTATCTTTCCCTCTCAAGAGGACTTGACCATGAACAGAATTGAGCTGTGGTTGAGTTGGTGTTTGAACCACCTGCCTGGAAAACCATACCTAGAAATACCTGTGGTCTCCACCCCTCCCTAGGATATAAATAAGACTTGGGCTTGGAACACTGAAATGGCCTGAAGACTCCTGAGCAATAATGTCTTTTCAACCTTAGAAGGAAGCTTCCTTCTCATTGCTGGACTTGCTATAGCCTCATGGTAACAAGTGAGGCTTCTTAGCAGAAATTCTCAACAATGTTTTAGAAATTGGCTGAGGGACTAGCAAGTCAGTCCTTCAGTTATCCATCCGGTGAGCCTTTCTTACAGCCCTTTTATCAGTAAAATTAGCCCCTTTTGTCCTGAGGAAAGGGTAAAGAAAATTCATTTGCTTAGCTCTGTATGTGTGATGCATTAATGCTCTTTCTTTATGTGTCTCATAAACTTATTCCACACAACCATCCTATGCAGTGGGTATTACATATTAACTAATTTACATAAGATTCAATAGTTTATATGAGGTTTAAGAGTTTGTACATGTTCTCATCATTTGAAGCAGCTTTTCCACAGTTTCTCATCTTCTGCCATGACTCCAACATACTTCCATCATTACATAACTCAGAGTGACTATGGAAGCATACAGCCTAGAAGGTAGGGCAATAGAAAATTACACCCTTTCTATTAAGATATTTTATCTTTTCAGGCCGGACACAGTGGCTCACACCTGTAATCCCAGCATTTTGGGAGGCCTAGGCCCGCAGATTACCAGAGGTCAGGAGTTCGAGACCATCCTGACCAACATGGTGAAATCCCGTGTCTACTAAAAATACAAAAATTAGCTGAGCGTGATGGCACCTGCCTGTAATCCCAGCTACTCAGGAGGCTGAGGCAGGAGAATTGCTTGAGCCTGGGAGGCGGAGGTTGCAGTGAGCCAAGATTGTGTCACTGCACTCCAGCCTGTCCTGGCTGACAGAGCGAGAATCTGTCTAAAAAAAAAGAAGAAAAAAAAAGAAAAAGAAAAAGAAAAAGAAGATATTTTATCTTTCAAGGAACATCTAAAAGGAAAAAATAATGATCCATAGCCCTTTTGAGATGGATCTAATAGGCCTTTAGATTGGTATATTCTGATAACATAGGCTTTTGAAAGATAACTGTTAAGCATATGTTAACCAAGTGTCTTTATTGGCTGGGGTGGGGTAGGGAGGAGAAGCAGCATGGAATAAGAAGAAAGTATTGAGTTTGGATTATATTTATGTTTCAGGCTGTGTCCCAGTTTCTCAATTTTAGAATAGTGACCTTGGTCGACGTCAAGGCCAAATCCTTTGAGTCTCAACTATTTTTTTCCACACCAAGTGACCGAGACATATTAGGCTCTAAAAAAAGTTAGCCTTCTCCC